GTAAAATACCAGTAAGCGATAGCAATTGGATTTAGGTTCAAGTGTTGGTCCCCTCACCTCCTGCACCCACAAAGCAAAGTTGAAGAATCTCTTGACAGTTGGCCCTAAATGCTGAGATATAAATAGCTTAGATTCAATTTTATGGTAGATGGGTGGGTAGCTTCATAACCTGAGTGCAGGAGCAGTTAAGTGAAGCCGTTCTGTGATAGCCTTGGCAATAGTGCGTGTGTGCGAGCCAAATGACCTGCATCCCAGGCCCCACAAGGTGGCAGGACAGAGCCAGTTCTGGAGTGCTATTCACTTATTCACTGACCTCCACAAGATCTGTAGCAGCTGTGTGTCCCCCGCGCCCCCCCCCATCCCCCGCACAGGCGCAGTAAAGTAAAAGCGGTGGGTTTCAGGCCAGCCAGGGCAGCTTCAAAATGATAACAAGGAAATAATTAAATGAAACTGTTCCCGGAACTGACGTGTGGGACACTGGTGTGAGCTGACCAAGCATTTTCAGGCTTAGGCTGGCTTGGTTCAGAGACTGCAGTGACCACACTTGTTTCTATCCCAAGGAGCTGTTTAATGAGCTGGTTCTCCTTGCCTGCCGTATGTAAAAACTGAATGTCTGCTGCCCCATGGCCTGCCCAGGTGTTCAGTAGCAGTTGTTAAAATGGAGTCCTCTTTAAATTCCCAAGGAAAGCTTTATATAATCACTGGGTCTCTCCAACCCGGGTCTGGTGTCATTTGATGCTTTTTCCTCTCTTGTCTCACACAGCCTTTTAGGAGAAGCCAGCCCAGCAGACATGCTGTCCCCGCAGAGCCCTGATCTGCTGCTCTCTGCAGTGGGGAGTGGGCACGCTGCTGCCACCTTTGCCCTCCCCCTTGGCTCCTAGCGCACGGACATGTGTCATCTGCCTTCCAGTCACAGAGCAAATGTCAGCTTTAGGGGATCCTGGCTTTGTTTCCTCTAGCAAATATACAAGTAAGTTGCTGTGGGGGTTCACTGCCAGGCAGCAGCTGGTCGTTTCTTGTCCTGTGCCATGTGTTGCTGGATTCCTGCTTCTGCCTATGTGCAGGAGTGCACAGCTCACTGCTCACTCCCCAAGGAGCTCTCCCAGCCCCATTAGCCTCCCATGGGGTGTCTTATTGTCATGCTATGTAAGTATCTTCAGTTAGCAGTTCTATTGCTACAACCTAAAACCATGACAGGGAGCAAGCTGGGGAGAAAAGGGTTGATTTGCCTTACACTTCACATGCTGTTCATCACTGAAGGAAGTGAGGGCAGGATCTCAAATAAGGTAGGAACCAGGCTGTGGAAGAGAGCTGCTTACTGACCTGGTCCCCAGGGCTTCCTCAGCCTTCTTTCTTATAGAACCCAGAACCACCCACCCACATGGGCTGGGCCCTCCCCCATTGATCACTAATTGAGAAAATGCCTTACAGCTGGATCTCAAGGAGGCCTTTCCTCAACTGAAGCTCCTTCCTCTCTGACTCCAGCTTGTGTCAAGTTGACACAGGAAACTAGCCAGTACAATGTGTTGTTACTGGAGGTTTTAGGGCAAAAGTTCTGGGTCCAGGAACCCACCTGAACCTCCAAATTGTCCTATTTGAAGAGAGTGGTGAAGAACAGAAGGATGTCACTGTGTGCGCATCGCAAGTACAGACAAAAGGGTCCTGTGGCCTCAGGTCCACTTTCCAGTGGACAGACATGACTTAATTAGAGGAAGAATGGGGCTGGAGAGGTGGCTCAGTGTGCTGGGTGGTGATGGCACATGCCTTTAATCTCAGCACTCAGGAGGCAGAAGCAGGCGGATCTTTGTAAGTTCGAGGCCAGCCTGGTCTATAGAGAGAATTCCAGGACAGCTAAGGCTGTTACAGAGAAGCCTTGTCTCAAAAAAAAATTAGCTGCTCTCCCAGAGGACCGAGGTTTGGTTCCTGGCACATATGTGGTGTTCACAACCTTCTGTAACTTTAATTCCAGGGTCCTGGCACCATCTTCTGGGCTCCTTAGGAACCATACATGCTTAACACCCATACACATAAATTAATAAAAATAAAGAACAGGGGCAGGGAAGTAGAGGTGGTCAAGGTGAAGTTCAGAGGAGCCTTGTGTCTGTTTCTGCATAGAGATAGTGCCCCTTACTGCCTGGGCGGCAGGGGTGCCCCTTACTGCCTGGGCGGCAGGGGTGCCCTTACTGCCTGACACCAGAGACAGTTGCCCTTCTCTGGCCCAAGAGGCTCTGCAGCTCCTGTCATCCAAGTTGACTGCAGGTTACTCACGAAGGTGCAGTGGTGTCTGGATCAGGGATGACGTAGAGAGGTCATGACATAGGTGGTTTCCAACTTAACAGCAGAATATGGGCTGAAGGGACGGAGTGGAAGGGGATTGATATGTATGTATCCCAGGCCAGCTTCAAAGCTGCCATTCTTCTGCCTCTGCTTCCTGAGCACTGCTGAGGATAGAAGCACGCTCCCAAGCCTGGCCTAAAGGCACCTTAAGATGGAAATCTCTATTGTTGACTTCTAGAGGCATGGGATGAAGGGATCTATCCACAGAGGGGACAGACATCAGTGCCGCATGCTTGAGGACTGGGAAGGTGCAGCCTTACAGACTTGTGGGGCTTTTGTTTGTTTTTAGGCAGAGTCTTGTGCCCCATCCAGCCTAGCTTTAAATGTCTGCTGCAGCCTGACCGGGCCTGGGACTCACCGTCGCTCCTCAGCCTCCCGAGTTCTACCATCTCAGGACTGTGCCACCTAACTGGGCGGTTTTGTTGTTTATTTTGCTTCTAGGAATGCTACATTTTTGACTTGTAATCTTTGGAGTTTATATGTGCATCCCAGTATAATTCTCCAGGTTCTCAAATATTTTCCTTTAGAAAAATATTATTTTGCTTAGTCACTGTTGTTTTTAAGCTGATTGAGGAATGGGTGCAGTGACCTGCCTTGGTCTTGGCTCTTGGTCACCATGACCTCTGCCTGTTCTCTGGCACAGGGTGGAAAGAGTGGCTCCACAGTTCGTTAGGGAATTCCTATGATTCTTCAGTGCAGCCCGAGTGGGGTTTTACATGCTGAGCTGAAGTGAATAGGCCTCTCTCGCTGTTGTTGATATTAGCGTCCATGGCACACCGTGCTGTCTGTTACTCAAACTGACAAGCAGGAATTTAATTTCAGTTAAGTACTGTGCTTTTCAAAGCTGCACTATGAGGAAGGACTGGATCTGGGGCCAAGAATACAAAAGGAACAGTTATACAATATTTGCTCCCCTTTCAACTCAGAGGACACAGAACATCCGAGAACCTGGGAATAAATATCACACATTTGAATGTTTGCAGGGCTCTGAATCCAAAACTGCCCACCCTTCAGGCTCTGGCACCTTGCCCAGCTCGACTGTTTGTTTTGAGCTTCACTATGTAGCCCTGGCTGGCCGTATTGCTTCTGCCCACTGAGTGCTGGGATTACAGGTGATGCCACTATACTGTAATGACCTTGATTTCTTAGTTACCTATGTGTTGGCATGCATCTGTTGTGTAGAGGTCAGAGGACAACTTCTGGGAGTTGGCTCTTTCCTTCCACTATGGGCGAAGGGGACCAACTCTTGTCGGGCTTGGCAGCGAGCACCTTTGCCCACTCGGACTCCTTGCCTGGTTTACCTTCACTTTCTTGAGGAAGAGTTTCTTCTTTCGTTCAAGTGTAGCCCATGCTGCATATGCCCCTGTTCTCTGGAATTCGGCTGAAGAATCTCTGCTCACCCTTGGGGAGATGGGATAGCATTCTCTGGCATCTGTGTATTGTCTTAGAGGTGGCTAACTTGTCCATAGCTTTTTCAAGACTAGAACATACAGTAGGTACTCAGTATTCTTACTCAGTTAAGTAAGAAATAAGCCAGGAGTATAGCACAATCAAGAGGGTTTGTCTCATTCACTAGGCCTAGGGTTCAACACCAGCACTACAAGAAATAGCAAGGGGTGTGTGCGTATGTGTGAGTGCGTGCTGGGAAGGATGAGGCCGATCGGGGATCTCACATCCAGATGGTCACAAGAAGAAGATCAAGAGTTCCAGGCCAGCCTGTACTACATAGTAAGACCCTGTCTCAAACAAGACTTCAGCATGTATGAAATGTATCATTACTTCATTGTTTTGTTTTTGTTTTTCCTTCGAGAAAGGAAAACTTAATGTAGACTCAGCTGGCCTCAAATACAGAGATCTGCTTCCCAAGCGCTGGGCACCACCCACCTGGCATTTCCTTGGTCCTTTTGTTCTTTCTTTTTTTTTTCTTTTTTGGTTTTTTGAGACAGAGTTTCTCTGTAGTTTTGGAGCCTGTCCTGGAACTAGCTCTTATTGACCAGGCTGGCCTCGAACTCACAGAGATCCGCCTGCCAATTCGCCACCACCACCTGGCATCATTCTTTTTTTTTTTAAAGTATTACTTTATAAATAATACCAATCAAAATTCCCACTTTGTTCTCTCCTCCCACTTCCTTTCCGAGTTCTTTCATTCTTTCATTCTTTTTTATATTTGCTTCATGTTAATATTTTACATAGCCTGCAGTTCTGACAGTGTCTCCACAGATGTGCTTGAGGAGCACTGAACATTAAAACATTAGGTAAATACAATATAAACAGATCAAATAGAAGTGAACACTGAAGCATATTTTCAAAATTTCCAACAATTTAAGAATGTATCAGAATTAATGACATAAAGAAAAAATGTTTGAATTTTTTTTTAAGTTAAAAACTTTCCTGATGCTGTTTATTACAAGGGCTCTGAGAAGAGGGGACAATGAGGTCACACCAGAGCTCTGAGGAGAGGGGACAATGAGGTCACACCAGGGCTCTGAGGAGAGAAGATGCAGACATCTCCAGGGTCCAAAAGAGACAAGACAATGAGGACATCACCAAAGGAGATGTCTGGTCTGATCTTGCTGTCTGGTCTCCACATGGTGGCACCTGAATCTTGTTCTCCAGGACAGGAAGTATCTTCCGCTGTGCTGGACCTGCTTTCAAGATATCTGAAAAACATTACTTTATCAACGTGTCAGGTCAACATTCACTGCTCCATCAAATCTGAGGGAAGCAGTGATGGAGGACACGATCTGGCTAATGAGGCGGTTAAGGTTAGTGTAGGTGGGGCGCTCAATGTTGAGGTTTCTACGACAAATGTCATAGACAGCCTCGTTGTCTACCATGAAGGCACAATCAGAGTGCTCCAGGGCGGTGTGGGTGGTGAGGATGAAATTGTAGGGCTCAACCACAGCAGTGAAAACCTGGGAGGCTGGGTAGATGGAGAACTCCAGCTTGGACTTCTTTCCGTAATCAACAGAGAGCCTCTCCATCAGCAGGGAGGTGAACCCAGAACCAGTTCCCCCGCCAAAGCTGTGGAAAACCAAGAAGCCCTGAAGACCTGTGCACTGGTCGGCCAGTTTGCAAATTCTGTCCAAGACGAGGTCAATGATCTCCTTGCCAATGGTGTAGTGGCCACGGGCATAGTTATTGGTGGCATCTTCCTTGCCTGTGATGAGCTGCTCAAGGTGGAAGAGCTGGCAGTAGGTACCAGTGCGAACTTCATCAATAACTGTGGGTTCCAGGTCTACAAACACTTCATAGATGACAGTATGCCCCTGGAAGGGAGACGTCTTGATAACACACATGAGATGTCTAAAGAACTCGCTCCAGAAAACGTCAGTACCAAAACGAATTGATAGTAGGATTCTTCTTCAAGTAATACCATGTCAAGCCACCTGTGGAATCTCCATGGTCTCTCAGGTAAGATGTGGCACAAGCTTGAAGGAAGAGTGCCCGCAGAGAAGGTGTCTCGCTGAAGATGGTATTGAAGGAGTCATCTCTTCCCCCAATGGTCTTGTCACTTGGTACTGACTGTCAGGCTGGATGCCATGTTCTAGAGTTCCCAGCAGGCATTGCCGATCTGGACACCAGCCTGGCCAATGTGGATGGAGATGCATTCATGCATGGTTGCTGCTTTTCGCGGCTTCCTGGAGGACGGTAGAGGCGAGGAGGAGGTGTTGCTTCTTACAGCGCGACTCTTAGGTGGTTGATGTAAGAGAAACTGCAGTCCAATATTTTCTTTTCAGAAGTTTGTTTTTGGACAGATTGTGTTGCTACGAACCAGCTCAGCTGGAGCACTGGGACCAACGGGACAGGGTCTCAGGAATAGGTGAGTAAGGAGTCGCCCAATGCCAGACACAAGACTCAAAGGAATTGTATCTGAATGTGTCTTTATTAGGCATGAGACTCATCCTTTATACAGAAAAGATTGCTTAATAGCATGTGGTTTTTTTTCATGTGGTACAGATTATTCTTAGAATCATATCAGATACATGAGAATAGATATTCCTCAGACAGATGTCCCCAGTGTGAGTCTGCGGTTGGTTATGCTAGACATGGATTGACATTAGTTTCGATATAAATCTTTATCTAGGCTATGAGTTCATGGCATTTTGAGCTAAGGGCAAGCGGTTGTGGTTAACAGTCACACAGTCTACAGTCTTATATATGAAGCTGAAGGCCTCGTCCGTTCACATACCTTGTCTGTTTTCCTCTGAGATGACTTCCTTTGAGCAGTGTTGTTTCTAGTCATTTCAGTGCTTCAATCTTTCTGAAGCCGACTGACAAAAGGTGATAAAGTAATCTCTTCCAGATTCTAGTTTTTCACTGGAGGAGGTCAGGACAGGAATTTAAGCAGGGTAGTAACCAGGAGTCAGGAGCTGATACAGAAACCATGGAAGAGTGTTTCTAATGACTTGCTCCCTATACCTTGTTCAGTCTGCTTGTTTTCTTGTTTATCTGTCTATATATATATATATATATATATATATATATATAAATATATATATAAAGAAATATATATATATATATATATTGCCTTCCCTTCTCTCCTCATGCTCTCCCCACCTGCCACCCCACCCCACATCCACTCTTCAGAGATGGTAAGGTCTCCCATGGAAAGTCAAATCTGTCCCATCACCTTTTTGAGGCAGGATCAAGGTTTTCCCCCTGTCTCTCACAGTGCCTAGATTGAGCAAGGTATTCCTCCATAGAAAATGGTATCCACAAAGTCAGTTCATGCATTAGGGTTAGATCCTGTTTCTACTGCCAGTGGTTCCGCATACTTCCCATCTGTAAGGGGTTGGTTATAAATTGTATAGGGTTGGGGGTAGAATACAAAGTTTAGGCTCAGGAATCTTTTTGGGGGAAAAAAGGGGAATGGATGATATGGGATAATAGGTAGATTAATGTATCTACTTGTGAATTATTCATTATAGACAATTTACATTGGTATAGATTCTTTGTATATTGATACATATGTAAAATTATCTTTGTATTCCTGTCTCAGACCATTTGTATATATTATATAAATTATTTATATTTGTAATATTGTATGTTATTTATATTTACATTTGTAAAGTTACTTTGTTACACTGTGTGTTCCTACCTCTGCTTAAGATATTTTGCATATCGATGTGATTTAGGATACTTTTATCATATTGCACTATACATTTCTACATCTGATAAAGATATTTTTATATTGATACAATTTTGAGGTCATTGTCTTTGTGCTCACATCTGCTTAAAGACTGTTATATGAAGCTTTAATCTTTCAGATTTACAGGTTAATAGTCACCCATGTTTGTTATACTATTACTGTTAGGGTCTTGTTGTAGAGATGTACTCTGCATAGACAGGTAATCTTCAAACTCTTCAAAGACCTGTAGAACATGACACTTAAATAACTCAGGATTGTGTTAATATTAGACATGGTTGCTCCTGGCAGCACAGATTTATTCTTGAGAATGTTAAACATCAAAGACACTCCACTTGGAGCTTGCTTTCTATGCCACTTATTGGCAAAACTGGCCTTTGGGCAAAGAACTGCTCTTGTCTCAACTGCTAACAATATGTGCACTGTTCAAACTGGAAAAAAACAGGATACAATGTTGTAAAAGGAGTGGCATGCCACTTCCCACTCAGCTCCCGGCCGCCCAGCTAGCTTATACCTGAAATAATTACACAGAAATTGTATTTATTTAAACACTGCCTGGCCCATTAGTTCTAACCTCTTATTGGCTAACTTACATATTTGTTTAACCCATTTCCATTAATATGTATTGCCACTTGACTGTGGCTTACTGGCATGAGTCTAACCAGCGTCTGTCTCGGAGAGGAGAACCTTGGCATCTGCCACACTGCCTTCTTCCTCCTAGAATTCTGTTCTGTCTTCCCCACCTACCTGAGTTTGCCCTATCCACTAGGCCAAGGCAGTCTCTTTATTTAACTAATGAAAGTAGCACCTAGATAGAAGATCCTCCTACACCAATACAAGCAAAAGCGACTGCTGAACTTTGCCAAGACAGGGTAGGACAGTCTTTCAAATCTTGCTGCTTTTAAAAATGGTCTGTCAGATACTCTAGGCCTCAGTCAAAGCTGGTTGCCCCAACATTGCAAATGAGGCTTTGGGTGACTGCCCAGGCAGTCAGTCAGTTGTTTCTATCATTTTTTTCTGTGCCTTTTGGAAGTGCTTGCTTGCCTTTCCTGCTTACTCAGGTAACATTATTTTCCTCTTCAAGTCTTTGATGGGGTTGAAAACTAGACAGTCATGGCTAATATCCTCTCATAACATAGCTAAGGCATTTTAGATACAAGACTTAGACTCCAGGATACGACAACTCTTGAAATCTGTTATTTGCTAATTTCCTTAGATTGGACATTTAGCACATGTTTCTTGCCTGATGTTTATGATGGTTGTAGTTCTATTTTTGTGTATGTTTTTGCCTTTTCTTTTTCCTGAATAATACTTGATCTTTGTTCTTATTGGATATAGTTTTGTATTAGGTTTAGAACCTTCTTATTTAGACAAAAGGGGGAAGTGTTTTGGGAATTTATTCCACTTATATGTTTTGGGGTGCTGGCCCATTAGGGTGTTGCCTGAGGTACTACATGTGGACTGATTAGGCCAGACAGGAAGCATGCTCACTCTCTTGTGTGGTAGTTGGAGATCTGATCACAGCTTTCTCCACTCTAGGGCAGAAGACTACACTAGCTCTGTACCTTTATTGTGTGAGTGTTCCCAAATAAATATTTATCCTTTATTCCAGTCTATTGTGACTTCCTTACTTACACCTACAATAGGGGTTGAAAATTCTACCTTCATCATCCTGCTGTCCCAGAGGAGGCTCAGAATTAAATTAAAGTGACATAGAAAAGTATAATTCAAGCTTTATTTGAAATGGAAGGAGTCTACATATATGCTGACCAGGGCTAGAGATGGCTCAGTGTGCAAGAGCGGGGAGCCAAGTTTTCACTTCTAGCATCCGTGTAATGCATCAGGCATGGCTGTGGGCACATATTAGCCACAGAACTGTGGTGGAGCGGAAGCATGTAAGCATCAGAGACTTGCAGCCTGAGTTCTATGTGGTTGTGAGTCACCCCATATGGGTTCTGAGACATAAATGCAGGCCCTCTGTTAGAGCAGCCAGTGCTCTTAACTGCTGACCCATTTCTCCAGCCCTGTTCAGAGTGGCTTTAAATGTGTTTTCTTCGAAGAAGGAGAAAATCTGTAATATGCAGACATGGGTGTCAAACAGATTGTGCGGTTTGAGGGTTTCTGGAACCACCTCTGCCACAGGTGGCAGCTGTAATAGACTCCTGTGTTAATTTCTCTCGCCTTAGCTTCTATAGAGCAGTGAGGCTGTTGACCATGCCATTCAGACAAGGACTTAGCTAGTCCTCTGCACTGGGCTCTTACCTTCTGCGGTAGATTGAACATAATTGGTCCCCATAATCTCATAGGGGTGGCACTATTAGGTGTGGCTTTATTGGAATGGGTATGGCCTTGTTGGAGGAAGTGTGTCACTGTCGGGGGTGGACTTCAAGGGGAATGTGGTAGCTTAAATGTAATTGCCCCTCATACTCTCATAGGGGTGGCACTATTAGGTGTGACTTTGTTGAAGTAGGTATGGCCTTGTTGGAGGAAGTGTGCCACTGTCGGGGGTGGACTTCAAGGGGAATGTGGTAGTTTAAATGTAATTGCCCCTCATACTCTCATAGGGAGTGACACTATTAGGAGGTGTGACTTTGTTGAAGTAGGTATGGCCTTGTTGGAGGAAGTGTGCCACTTTGAGGCTTTGTGGTTTCCTGTGCTTAGGATACTGCCCAGTATCTCAGTTGACTTCCTGTTGCCTGCAAGATGTAGGACTCTCAGCTCCTTCTCCAGCACCATGTCTGCTGCACGCTGCCATGATCCCTGTCATGATGATAATGGACTGAACCTCTGAAACTAAGCAAACCACCCCAATTAAATGTTTTCCTTATAAGAGTTGCCATGGTCACCATGTCTCTTCACAGCCCTGGAAACCCTGCGACACCTTCCAATGCGATGAGGTACACCTGTGCCTTTGCAAACCTCCCAGAACTGAAGAGGGAGCTATCCAGGTCCTGACAACAGTGCTGATTTGTGTGGGAGAGGCAGAGCCATGAGCTGCCTTTCTCCAAGCTCTGCTTTCACAAACGGGACCCCTGCACTGAAGCTTTTCAAAACTCATTCAGGGTGGCTGTGGTGGCACATGGCTTTGATTGGCACTCAGGCGGCAGAGGCAGGTAGAGTCTGAGGCCGGCCAATGATCCATAGTGAGACCCTATATTAAAACTC